GCTCATTCTGGAATGGGATAAATCCCCCTGGAATGGGATAGCTTGTTCTGGAATGGGATGGCTCCTTCTGGAATGGGATACCTCCTTCTGGAATGGGATATCTCTCTCTGGAATGGGGTAATTCCCTCTGGAACGGGGTGACTCCCTCTGGAATGGGGTGACTCCCTCTGGAATAGGGTAATTCCCTCTGGAATAGGGTAATTCCCTCTGGAATGGGGTGACTCCCTTCAGGACAGGTTAACTCCCTTTGCTTTGGCTCTTCCCTCGATTCCATGTGCACACACTACAGGAGAACACCGAGGACAGGCAGGTTTGGCTCACGGATGGAGGAAGGTTGTGATGGTGGCAGTAAATCTCCTTTTGTTGCTGCTAATTTAACTCGTTAATTTTTCATTTCAGACTCCCCATTGACATTGTTGTGTATTTCCCCCCCTGCTCCAGGCCCTGCTCGGGACATTCCCATGGGTGAGGCTTTCTGGGCCCCTGGGCTGGGTCCTGGCAAGGGATGGGCACAGACACAGCCCAGGAGCTGCAGGTGACCCCAGACCAGCCCGGCAGGAGCATTCCCAGCACAGGGCCAGGGACAGCCCCTCCTGTCCAGCTCCTGGGGCTGTTCCCAAGGGAGAATCCCAAAGCCCAGACCAGGCCCAGCTGCTGCTGCTCAGGGGTGCCAGGGTCCAGCCTGGTTATCCCTGACAGCAAAACGGGAAAACACAGGGAAAGCCCTGCAGGGGTTTTCAGGGGATCCCAGTGCCCTGGAGCAATGGCCAGGGGCTGAGGGACAGCTGGCTCTGGGATCACCTGCACCATTCCCACCCAAAATCCCACAGCCCACGGGGATGTTCCCTTCTCCAAGAATTCCCAAACCTTCTCTCTCTCTGGCTGTGGGACCTGGGCAGCTGCAGGCCCAGGGAAGCCCCCACCCCTGATAATTTCCCATTTTCCCAGTGCCAGCTCACAGTTCCTACCCAGGCGATGGCAAACCAGGAAAGTTCTCAGCCAGTTGTTCCCAACAGCGACCATTTAACATCCTCAAATCCGGTCTCATGTTTTCCAAGGTATTTTTTAACACATCCACGTCTGCATCTGTGTTTGGTGGCAGTGCCAGCCCTGGGAGGGGACAGGGGGCTCCACACAGGGAGCAGGCAGGACAAGGCTGAGGGTGATGGGGCAGCTGAGAGCAGAGCCAAGGAAATCCAGGAAAAATCTGAGCAGGAAATGTCCAGGAAGTTGGTTTGCTGTTGGTAGTGAGCACTTGGAGTGTAAGGATGTTAAAGCCCTTGGTTAAAGCCCTTCCTAAAGAGGCTCCAGGAGAGCTGCAGGACAGGGACTGGGGACAAGGGATGGAGAGACAGCACACAGGGAATGGCTCCCACTGCCAGAGGGCAGGGATGGACGGGATATTGGGAATTGGGAATTGTTCCTTGGGAGAGTGGGCAAGCCCTGGGATGGAATTCCCAGATTTGCTGTGGCTGCTCCAGGATCCCTGGCAGTGCCCAGGCCAGGCTGGACACTGGGGACAGTGGGAGGGGTCCCTGCCATGGCAGGGGTGGCACTGGGTGGCTCTGAGGTCCCTTCCCCCCCAGCCCATCCTGGGATGCTGGGACCCCTTTGGGAGGCTGGGACCCCTTTGGGAGGCTGGGACCCCTTTGGGAGTGCTGGGACCCCTTTGGGAGGCTGGGACCCCTTTGGGAGGCTGGGACCCCTCTCTGCTGGAGTTCAGCCCTGATTACCTGGTGCAATCACAGATGCCTCTGCACAGACGCGTGCACAGAGCTCTGGGGGAATGCAAGGGCAGGGAGTGCAAACCCAGGGAAATGAACCCCCCAATGGGATCAGCCGAGGGCAGGGCTCAGGGGAGGCCCCGCTCCCAGGGGATCAGGGTGTTTATTCCGTTTATTCCCAGGAGCTGCCCTGGGAATAAATGAGGGATGTCCTGCTGGCACCCCTGGCCAGGCAGAGCCTGTCCCACAGCAGCGGGGATGGGGACAGGTCCCCAGATGGCTCAGGGGGTGACAGAGCTGCGGGGTCAGCACCCACCCTGGCAGGGTTTGGCCATAAACAAACACAGCAAGCCCCACCTCAGCTCGAGGAAGAATTTCTTTCCCTGGGGTGGCAGGGCCCTGAGCAGGGTCTGGGGTTTCCCTCTCTGGGGACATCCCAACCCCACCCGGACACGTCCCCGTGTCCCCTGCCCCAGGCTGGGCTGGATGGTGCCCAGAGGTCCCTGCTGTGATTCTGTGAACTGGTGGCGTGTCACAGTTAGAACTCCCAAAGGAAACTGGGGATGCTGTGCCAGCTGGAGCTCCCTGCCCGTGCCCGTCCCTCGCCATCCCTCTGGAA